TGATTTTAAAGCACGCAATGCTTGCCTGTTTCTGTGTGAGTTCATGGTGTTTGGCAATCTGTGATCAAAGTCTAGTAATGTGTGATATTCACTTCAGTCATTTAGTGTGCAATTCCCCGGGGCCGGTTGCATAAACCGCTTAGACTAGTCTTTAAAGGGTTAGTTCACCCCAAAATGAAAATTCTGTCATTAATTACTCACCCTCATGTCATTCCAAACCCAAAAGACCTTCGTTCATCTTCAGAACACAAATTAAGATATTTGTGATGGCATCTGAGAGCTCTCTGACCCTCCCATAGACAGCCATACATCTGAAATGTTCCCGTAGTCATAGCAAGGAGATCTGTAAAATAATCCATGTGACATCAGGGGTTCAACCGTAATTTTACGAAGCTACATAACATAGTGGCTATGTTTATGCAACTGGTCCCAATTTTTCCTCTGTAACCATTAACAAAATCGTCCAGAGTACTGTTTTTAAATCTGTTCAGATTTTAATAGTAGTGTAGTGTATTCCAGCCATCAAGTTTATCTTGTGTATCTCTGTTTTAGCGGAAACTCCGTGAGATTAGTACCAAATTCCAGCTGTTCCAGAAACCAGCCAACTTTGAGCAGCGAATGCTGGACTGCAAGAGGATTCTGGAAAACGCTAAAGCCGAACTTCACGTCCTTGACCTGAAAGACACGCAACCAGAGGAGATCCAGACCCACCTGACTGGATGCATGGTGAGAAAACACACAGGCATTATTATGATGTATTTACTATAACAGTACGTATTCATATTTTGAATTGGCTTTTTATTTTTATATTTTCGGTTTTCATTTTAATTTTAGTGTAAGTTTTAGCAATTTTGGTAGGTACTTTTTGTCTCTTTTAATTTATTTTTTTCTTTCTTTCTATATAGCTTTATTTTTATATCAGTTTTAGTCAATATAATTTTAGTACTTTAACTTATTTATTTCAGATAGTTGACAGGGCAACAAATTTAATTTTAATTTAATTTAATTTTAATTTAATTTAATTTAATTTAATTTAATTTAATTTAATTTAATTTAATTTAATTTAATTTTATTTTATTTTATTCAAGCTACCAAAATCGTTTTTTAGTAGTTTGTTTTACAGTAACAACACTGAAAAACACACCTCATCATGGACTCTCACGCTGCTTGTGCTTTATATATGTGTGTTGTTTTTATAAATGCAGAAACTATATAAGATCTTGAGCGAGGTGAAACTGGAGGTGGAGACTGTGATTAAAACAGGAAGACAGATCGTACAGAAACAGCAGACGGAAAATCCTAAAGAAATGGACGAACAACTCACCGCCCTCAAATTACTCTACAATGAGCTGGGAGCTCAGGTCTGTGCACATTTACACATACATGGTTAACCGCCATAAAGTCTCGAGACATGTTTTTTAAAAGTCGAACTTGCGTACAAACATGCGGCTCTCTTGTGTGAGACGCGAGTGCAACGTTGATAGATGTCCCTCTAGAAAATGTGATAAATATGCATTCTGTGTGAACGGCTTGGTTTCAGTTTTGATGTAAACAACAACATCTCCGCATTGAGGTTCTCTTTTTCCGCAATATTTTTAATAAACAACACAGCAGCGCCGCATCCCGTGGGTTCAATTGGATAGGCTAAAAGAAGTATTAAAAAGCAGCAACACTTACATCGTCATCGCATCTTGTGCACCACTGATAAGGCAGCCTGACGCACAACTAAAATTCGAATGCGAACGTGGATTTTTATTTTTAATTCGACGAATATTCAAAATATTTTTTTGACAGCCCTACTGTGCACATTTACACATACATGTTTAAAACCGCAATAAAAGTAACGTGTGCATGTTTTTTTTTTTTTACATTTTGCAACTTAAGGTTTTAGATTTGAAAAATAAAGGTTACGTTCAGCCTCCACATCCTCTGTTTTTCTACTTTTCACCACCCAATCAGTTTCCAGTGGATAAAATCCACTCAGAAATACATCACATTACAAAAGTAAAATGAGTTACGCAAGCTATTTTGTTTGGTTAGGTGACTGAGGGGAAGCAGGATTTGGAGAAGGCCATGTCTCTGTCTCAGCAGCTGCAGAAGGACAGCGCCGCCCTGCAGGCCTGGATGAGCCACACTGAGACTCAGCTGAAAGAGAAGTTCAGCACAGGAGACATGCCTGCCGATATCGAGGCGGAGATCACATGGGCTAACGTGAGTGTGTTTGACAGTCGCTCGCTCATGGAGTCTTTACACAGAGAGTGTGTGTGTTACATGAGTGTTTGTCTGTAGGGCGTGTTGAAGGAGTCTGAGCGCAAGAAGAGCGATCTGTCTGTGGTGACGGAGAACAGCGCCGCCCTGCAGGCCTTAGTGGAGGGCAGCGAGGCTCAGCTGGAGGATCAGCTGTTTGAGCTGAATGAGGACTGGGAGCGAGTGCACATGCTGATCGAGGACTGGCTCAGTGCTGTTCTGGTGAGTGACTGGTTAAGCTTACATCACGCAGTTAACTCATGTAGGTTCACATCATCCCAACAACTGCTTCATTCGGTTCTGTGTGATTTGTCAAGACTGATTAGAAGGATAGCAGCACATGACACACACACACACACACACACACACACTTGCTTATAGATATCTAAATGTGCACATTTCATAGACTTTTGTTTTTATATTCAGCTAATTATAAATACTACAAACTAACCCGCACCCTAACCTAACAGAATACTTTCTGCATTTTTAGAATTAATAATAAATAAATGTATTATTATTATTATTGTTGTTGTTGTTATTATTATTTGAATAGTACTGTTTAGGTTTATTTTTATTTCCCTTTTAGATTTAGTTCAGTTTTTTGTTTTTATTTGTTTATTTATGTAGTAATTTAGTAATTTTGGTACTTCAACTTAAACTTGTTTAATTAGCTGCCAAGGCAACATTTCTATTACATTTCTATTCATCATCTAATGTTTATATTTTATTTCAAGTTTTTCAATTAACATAAATGTTTTAATAGTTTTAGTTACAAGCTGACACAATACCCATAATATATAAAGTAACCCACAACCTAATGTTTTTTTATAATAAAAAAGAAAAAAAGAACAACAATGACAATGAAAAAAAAAGTGTTGTTTTTACAAAGAACATCTGTGGATGTCTTGAAAAGGAGGTTTTTGTCAGATTTTGCTCACTTCTGGGTACAATTTGTTTCTAAAATATGCTAATGTATGTTCACACACACAAACACAACAGAGCTTGTGTCTGGAGTCTCATTTATCAGTAAATGATGGGGGAAGACCTTCATAATTACTCATTTATATGCAATCTTAACTCACGTGGGAGGTTTCAGTCATTAGCAGTCTGTTTGGCAGAATTTCATTAACATCAAAGTTGTACAGGTTTGAAATGTCACCTATGAGCAGAATAGAATATATAATATAATTGTTATTATTATTTATATTATATTTGTTATTCTTAGAAAAGGACTTAAACCAACGGAGTTTATGGATGGAGACCATTTTTGTTTTATATATTATATTGTAATGTTTTTTTATATATATATATATATATATATATATATATAT